TTTGACTACTTACCTCATGCATTCCTTCTGAGTTTTTCTTTTCTTTTTTCTTTTTCACCACCCCAATTTTTTTGAATATATTACCTATAGTTATTTTGGTTTGTTTTTAAGTATTTATTTATTTAAAGAAAGAATCTCAATTTTGTGGCTGTGACTGGCCTTGAGTGCTCATAGTGGTAGTTCTGTCTCAACCTGTCTAGTGGTGGATTATAGATGTGTCTTACTTTAGTTTCTCTTGCTGTCATAAACAGTGTGACCACAAAGCACTTTGGGGAGGAAAGGCTTTGTTATCTGTCCTACAGTCCTTCATGAAGGGAATTCAGAGCAGGAACCTGGAGGCATGAACTGAGGCAGAGACCACAGAGGAACACTGCTTACTGGCTTGTTCCTTATAGCTTGCCTTCCATAGCTTGCTCAGCCTGCTTTCTTATACAACCCAGGACCACCTACCCAGAGGTGGTACCGCCCACAGTGAGCCAGACACAACAATCATTAATGAAGAAAATGCTCTGCAGACTTGCCTACAGGTGATCTGATGAAGGCATTTCTCAATTGACATCAGATGTGTCTAAGTTTGTGTCAAGTTTATAAAGACCAACCAGCACAAGGTATAAGCCTCCACCACGAATGACTAAGTATGGCTATAAATCCTTGTGTACTTGCTCCATTATCTGGGTAATATTGTGTCTGTTAATTGGATTTTTTTCCCCTTCGAATTTGGATACATTTTCTTTTTCTTTCTTTCTTTTTTTTTTTTTTTTTTTTTTTTGCATACCTTGTAAATCTGATTTAAAGCTACATATTGTACATAAAAAATTGTAGCAGCTGCAGATGATGTTAACACTGTCTGGAAAAGGTTTTGCAGAGTTCTCTAGAAGGAGGAGGGTGACCACCTTGAGGCAGTTAGGGTTGAGCTGTGCCAGGATGTGTCTGTTGTTTTGGAACTGCCTGGTGTGCCCTGGTTTACCATTTCTAGGTTCCCATTCACACTCCAGATGAATCCTTTTGAATTCCCAGCTTACTGACGAGAGCCGTACGCACTCCTTCCTTTGGGCAGAAGTAGCTCCCTCCTTGCCCACAGAGGCGTCAGGTTTGTGTTGAAGCCGTCCTCCAGTGTTTAGTCCCTTTACTTCCCTGATCAATTCACCACTTCTAGCCGCTGTTCCGTGTGTTCAGCGTGCTTCTCTGAACATTAAACCAGCATTTTTAGATCACTCTCTTTTAAGTTGTCATTTCTTTCTATATTTATTTGATTATTTTCATTATATTGGAATATTATTAATGTCATGCCAGACTATCTTTTGTTTAAAACATGGACTGTGTGTGGTGGTGGAGTGCACATGTACCATGGCACGCATATGGAGACCAGAGAGCAGCTTGTGCGGATCCGTTTTCTCCTTCTGCTATGTGGGTTCTATCCAGGGGGCACGTGCCTTTACCCACAGAGCCATCTCACCGCCCCACACTGTCTTTCTACCACCTTAATTTCTTATTATGACTGGAAAGGGGTTTTTTTTTTGAGATTATAATATAATTCCATCATTTCCCCTTCCTTCTCTTCCCTTTAAACTTTCCCGTGTACTAGCCTTGATTTCTCAAATACATAGCCTCTCTTTTCTTCAGTTGTTGAAGTGGAAGCCAGTTGTTCCAGCACTGTGGATTAGATCAAGAATCAGCAATTGTAGCCAGTTACTAGAGTGTTTTTGGATCACAGCCATCTATTCAAATAGTCATAATGGATCACTGCTTTCATATTTTACCAAAAGAACTGAGTAGATGAGCTAACTAACCTAAGTTACTTGTCATCTGCCTTACTTAGGATTTCTACTACGTGATGAAACACTATGACCAAAAGAACCTAGGGAGGGAATAACTCATTTTACCTTCCAGGGCAGAAACATGGAGGTGGGAACTGAACAGAAGCCTTGAAGGAACAGTATTGCTCCTTATGGCTTGCTTAGCCTGCTTTCTTACAGCGCTCAGGACCGTCAGCACACGGGTGGTACTGCACACAGTGAGCTGGGCTCCCCCACATCAGCCATCAGTCAAGAAAATGCACCACGAGCTTGCCCAGTCAGGTGGAGGCATTTTCTCAACTGAGATTTCCCCTTCCCTAACGACTCTAGCTTCCAACTTGTGTCAAGGAGACAACACTAGCCAGCACATCATCTATATAGTACTTTAATCAGAAGTTAACCAGTCCCTGAATTAGAGCATGCTTTGTTCATTGATGTGAGTTGGTTTTAGTACTCTAAATATATCTCACCTATTCATGACATTTCTTTATTTCTGTAGTCACTTGACATGTTTCCAGAGTATCACTCTATTTTAGCTTTATACTACTGTATTTTATTGACTTTTTAGCGCTTACATGGTACATATATCAAATTACATAGATCTCTAGACATAAAAAATTGGAAACATAAAATGTAAACCTTCTGGGCATGGTAGCACACACCTTTAATTCCAGCACTTGGGAGATAGAGGCAAGTGGGTCTCTGACTTTGAGGCCAGCCTGGTCTACAGAGTTGAGTTTCAGGACAACCAGGGCTGTCTCAAAAAAAAACAAACAAGGGGAAGTGGGGAATCTCTCACAAACATGCCCAGCAGCCTGGATTTTTGTTGATTCCAGATGTGGCCAAGTTGACAACCAAGATTAGCTGACACAGGCTCACCCCTACCTTCTAATGGTCTTTACTCAAATGCCGTCTTTTCAGTCAGCCATTCCCCATCCACTCTCTAAGGTTTGATCAGTCTCCCTGCCCAGTCTCTCTTCTCTGCCCTGCTCGGTTTTCTTTTCACAGCCCTTACCGTCATCTGACATAATACTTCTTCATCTATTGGAAGGCGGGGTCTGTTTCACTTTGTTAGAATGAAGCACATTCTTGTCTTTATTTTGTTAATTTGTCTTTTTCATTTGTGATTTTCCATTGCCCAGCACAACCCTCCACAAGTTAAGGTCTTAGTAATTATTGCTGAATTAATGACTTTTTGTATATGTAACAGTTTGATTTCTTAAATTGGAACTCTTAGGTCAAAGGGATAAATGGCATTTCCCCCTGCAGTACTAGGCCTTGTGCTCTACTCCTGGCCTCTACGCCCAGCCCAAGAATGACTTTTTTTTTTTTTTTTTGTTTTTCGAGACAGGGTTTCTCTGTGTAGCTTTGCGCCTTTCCTGGAACTCACTTGGTAGCCCAGGCTGGCCTCGAACTCACAGAGATCTGCCTGGCTCTGCCTCCCGAGTGCTGGGATTAAAGGCGTGCGCTGCTACCCGCCTGGCCAAGGATGACTTTTTAATAGTTGTGTGCCTTTTGTCATAGAACTTGGTTATTGCTTTGATTTTATTATTTTTACCAAATATTTTGTATGTGGTCTAACTATCAAATGTTATAAAAATGGTGTATGTTATAGCCAGGCTTTAGTGTACATGTCTGTAATCATCCTACTTGGAAGACAGAGGTAGGAGAATTGTTGAAAGTTTGAGGCCAGTCAGATCTACAGAGTAAGAGTTCTGGGTTAGCCAAAGCTATTTAGTAAAATCTTACCTCAGAAACAATCAAAAAGGGGTGTTATGTTCGAAAGTATTCTCCCACTCTTGTGCTCAAGAATCCCATTCTTATACTCAGAAACAATTGATTTTGTTAGTTTCTCAACTTTCAGAGCTATTGCTGTATGGCCAAGAAGCTGACACTACGTTATACAGTTATGCCTACCCAGTACAGCCTCTGTTTCCTCCAGTATACGACAGTATTTTACAGTTATATCTGCTAGTACAGTCCCTATTTCTTCCAGTATACGACAATATTTTACAGTTTTGTCTACCCAGTATGGTCCCTTTTTCCTTTTCTGAGCACTGCTCAGCCCTCCTCAAGAGCTAGTACTGATCATTTGTAGTGAATTTTGCTATAGTTAACTCTTGAAGAAATGGTAATGAAATATTTTGCCTGTATCCTTAAAGCTCAAAATGGAGATGAGAATTTGAAATGAGATGAGAAAATCTCTGAACTTGAAGGAACACGGGCTTTAAAAAAAAATCAGGATGATACATATATGTCATGAAACATTGAAAAATATTGAATAAGGTACAGATCACAAATAGAGTGAAAATTAGTTTATCAAAGCAGAGAGTGGGTACATTTATTGGGGAAGACTTGTGGGAAGGGGTGGGTATGTTGCTTTGAATAGTGAAGAGGAGTGTGGAAGGAAAGGAGTTTATTATACTTCTTTTTGTTCAGACTCAACAGTGATTAAGAGATCAGCAGCAGCTGGAGAAACTAAAACCATTTTTACAGGGAAAGTTGTGTTCAATCCAGATTTTGAGAGATAGTTAAACTTTTTATTAGGCATAAAAGGGTAACTGTAGGAGACCCTTAGTATAGGGGTTAGTAAGCTATATCACAGAATGTTTTTGAATGAATGAAGAATTTTTAGAGCACAGATATTCATGCTACAATAGTGGATCTGAAAAATTGAGATGGGGGTGGGATGCAGCTAAGAGCTCTGGCTGCTCTGTCAGAGGACCTGGGTTCGATTCCCAGCACCCACATGGCAGCTCACAGCTGTCTGTAACTCCAGTTTCAGGGGATCTGACACCTTTTTCTGGCCTCCAAGGTCAGTCAGTGCATACACACGTGCACAGACAGACGTGTAGGTAAGACACCGGTATACACAAAATAAAAATAACTTTGTAAGTTGAGACAGACCGTATGGCTTCTGACACCTAAGATATTTACTCTTGGTTCTTCGCAGACAATTAGCTGTGCCCTGTAGGTAGATTCTATTTAAGGAGGAAAGCATTATTGATAACTATTGAAGAGAAGAAATGCAAAGGAGATATTCTTGTGGGGGCATTTAGCTATAGAAGAGTGGCTAATGAGATTAGCCTTGAAGGAGTATAATGGAGAGACAGAGAGGAAGTAAAAACTGCCAGGACAGTTCTAATGCAGTAATGCACAAAGGTGGTTTATTCTTAATGGTGTTTTTCTGATTTCCCTCACTAGCCAAGAAGGATCAAGAAGGTGGAGAAGAAAAGAAATCTGTGCAAAAGAAAAAAGTAAAAGAGCTAAAAGTGTTGGACTCAAAGACAGCCCAGAATCTCTGTGAGTAATTCTTGTGATCCCAGCTTCTAATATTGTGAAGGTGTTCCTGTAAGAACGTACTTTGCCTGGGTCTAAGGTCCCTCCATGTGAAATGCCTCTTGTTGAATTCCTGCTCTGTGCCAGGCAGTGCACGGTGAGGCTTCAGTATCTCATCAGATGCTTCAGTAGCACAGCAGGGTTGACAGGAATCCAGCTTTATGTCAAGGAAGCAGGTGAAGGTTTTAGGAATGTGTCTAGTTATGGAGCTAAGGAGTTTCCTTTTTTATTTTATTTTCCTGGGGGTTGGGAAGGGTTGAGATGTGATCTTGCTATGTAGCTTGGCTGTCCTTGAACTGACAGTCCTCCTGCTTCAGCCTCTGAGTGCTGGAGTTTTAGTGGACACTACCATGCCTGGCAAACTTCTTTCGAAGTCCTACTTTTCCTTATGTCAACAGGATGTCTCCCGCAGGGTTTCGGCCTCAGTGAGTTTCCTTCTGCCTCTGATAAGGAACGCAGCTGCTATTGTGGCTTCAGTTAAACTAAAATTATTTACATTTAGAAGAGGGGAGGTAAATCTTGTGCTTGTCAGAGTAGGATGGTAACCCCAGAGAGTAAAGCATATGGTACTGTGTTTCTTCTGTTCTCCAGTAGTGAAAAACTTCCAGGTTGGAGAGCATGTCACACAAGTTGATACAGTTACTGCCTGATTTGTGGTTAAGATCAATGTTATCCTGCTTGTTCATTTCAGCTTTCAATCTGTACCTCCTTTATGCTGAGTAATACAGATACTAATTCTTTTGGTCACAATTATTTGAGAGTCTGGCATGTGACAGGTTCTATTAGGTACATGTTAGTCATGTGTTGTATAAATGAAAGAGTATATATTCCATAAGCTCGTTCATAATCTTATAGTTACTGTCTTTATTTTTCCACATGAGAAAACTTAAGATTCAAATGTTATAACTTGTCCAAAAGTCATCCAAACTACTAGTATACATATTTATAGGTACATTCAGAGTGATATAGTGAGACAGTAAGTCTGTGTGTGTGTGTGTGTGTGTGTGTGTGTGTGTGTGTGTGTGTGTGTACGTACACACATACTCTCTCTCTCACACACACACACACACACATACATATATATTTCCTCCCTTTGCTCCGGGAGGCAGAGGCAGGCGGATCTCTGTGAGTTTGAGGCCAGCCTGGTCTACAGTGCTAGTTCCAAGACAGCCAGAGCTACAGAAATGCTATCTCAAAAAACAAACGAACAAAAATTTCACACTAAAAATTAAGTAATGCTCCATAAATGTGCATGTCCTTCTTGCACAGGACCATGCTGACCATTCCAGTTGTGGTATATGCTTCAGAAGCAAGCATAGTTTTTATATTATGTTTGACCATATAACCTTAATTTAATATGTATAGGTATTGCTAAATGAAAGTCTGTGGTGATGTTTTGTGGCCGGGGGGTGGGGTTGGGGGGTTGGTTTGGTTTTTTCAAGTCAGGGTTTCTCTGTGTAACAGTCCTGGCTGTCCTGAACTCACTCTGTAGACCAGGCTGGTCTCGAACGAGATCCACCTGCCTCTGCCTCCAGAGTGCTGGGATTAAAGGCGTGTGCCACCACTGTCCAGCTAGTGATGTCTTTTTATGGAGACTAAAGTAATGTTAATTTCTGTTCCTAAGAGTGTGTCTAGGAAGATAATGCGTGAGTGATTGTTATTTTAGAAAACGATAGAAGAAAGACTATAATGTAATACATTATTGTTCTCAGTGGAATGATATTAAGATGGGAAACAACTTAGAAAGGAATGGGGGCCATTCTTTCTCCTTCATGACCCCTTCCGCTCATGTGAGTTCTTTCTCACTTTTCCTTAATAAATCTGTGCTCACTCTGCAAAATGAAAGGGAAAAAAGCCAAAGAGTTGAGGGTTGGGGGTGTCGTTAGCAGTAGGGCATTAGCTTAGCACATCCCAGACCCTGTTTCAGTTCCTCAGAACTAGGGAGGAGGGCATAGGATTAGACTGCCTAGAGTAGAACAGTCTAGGAGGCAGAAGTGCCTGTTTAATCCTAAAAATGCAAAGCCAAGTCAGACAGTCTCTGTCCTCTTGACCTATGTGTCTGTGGAGACAGGAAAACAAAAGTGGCTGGAGGTGATTGTCACCTAAGGGTGTGCTAGAATACCTAGGCAAGTACTAGCACGAAGGCTTCCATGCCACATGGTGAGTGCTGAAGGAAGGCCAAGAGTGTTCTCGAAGGTACCATTTAAAATGGGTTGAAGACCTGTCCAGGAGTTAAGTAAAGGGAGGACTAACTCCCTTCAGGAGGGGTGAGCCCATGTGCCTGAGATGACTCGGGGCAGTCAGAACTGCAGACTGTTCCAGCTGTGGGAGTTACTGCGGAGATTTTCATCAGGAAGGTGACTGTCACCGCCTTATGTAGTCTTTGGGAAGGCTGCTTTGGCAATGATTTTCAGGCTCAGTTTCTGACTAGGAAGGAAGATGAGCTGTTTTAAACTAATGAGATGATCAATATGCTGAATGAGGCAAGTTCACCAAGCACAGAGTGGCTGTAGATTTGAGTCAGGAGACAAGGTAGGACCTTCTCTAGAGTGCACCCACTGATTGCTGTCTTTTCGCTGGCTTTGTGAGGAGATATATAATAGGTGGAAGTTCTAAGAGTGAAAAAAATAGATGACTGTGTTTTCAGAAGGCTATAAAGGAAAAAAACAGATGTTGATAATAGAAGAGAACACTGAGTCGAAGAAGATTTTTTTAAGATAGACTTGACTGCATATGCTGAAGGAAACGATGTTAGGGTCACCTTAAGAGCCGGCTATGGTAACACACACCTTTAATCCCAGCACTAGGACAGCCAGGGCTACCTAGGGTCAGATAGAGAAGCTGGGGTGTGCAGTCAAGGGAAAGAGCTGCATATAGACTTGGTTTTCTATATGTAAATAAGTGTTTTACCTGCATGTATGGATGTATACCTAGAGCCTGAGGAGGCCTGAAGAGAAGGCTCGGTCTGTAGGAACTGGTTACAGGTGGTTGTCAGCTGCCATGTAGTGCTGGGAACCAACCCAAGCCCTCTGCAAGAGCAGCCAGTGCCTTAGCCCCTGAGCACCTCTCCAGCTCTGAGGGTTAAAGCTGAGGGTCAGATTAGAATGTGGGGGAACTGGAAGTACAGGGTGTACTTCTTAGGAGTGGGGCTTGGCTGTTTTAAGAACGAACAAGTCAAGGCAATGGCAGCTTTGTAGGAGAGGGGATCTAAACAAGGAGGTGAGTGGCTCTGAGATTCTGTGATCACAGGCACGGTGTTTGTCGAATGTGCTAAGCAGTGGAGTTGCTGTGTGGCCTGATGTGGCTTGTGTGTGGGAATGGGTGACAGTAGGAGCTGGAACACTGGACTCGGGCTCAGATTTCAGCTGCCTAGGTAGAGTGGGCTTCCAGGGGGGTCTGGAATGGGGAAGAAGATAAGAAGAACCTGTCTTTCTCTCATTCTCTGGCAGCAATCTTTTTGGGTTCCTTCCGCATGCCCTATCAAGAGATTAAGAACGTTATCCTGGAGGTGAATGAGGCTGTTCTCACTGAATCTATGATCCAGGTAAGTAACAGGGAGGTCCTGCCAGAGCTGGCTCCTCTGCACAGCTGTACACAGGGAGGTCCTGCCAGAGCTGGCTCCTCTGCACAGCTGTACACCAGCCTCTCCTCGCTTGGTGAGCAGGAGCGTCTTCAAGCAGTTTTGACTCAAAATGCTGGCTGAAGCTGTGTCCCTGGTGGGTAGGTTAGCTCAGCAGACTCAGGAATCTTCCCATCTCACAAGCTGCCCTGCCCCCGTGCTTCCTTCATTATCATTGGGCAGAGTGTGGAACTTAGAGTCAGGCTTTTAGCTCACCCCACATGCATTTACTCTCTTTTCCAGAACCTCATTAAACAGATGCCAGAACCAGAGCAGTTAAAAATGCTTTCTGAACTGAAGGATGAGTATGATGATCTGGCTGAATCAGAGCAGTTTGGCGTGGTGGTGAGTGAGGCCAATAGCAGTCTTTTTCAACTCCTTTATTCCCTTCCCTCTGGAGACCAGCCTGGGCACTTGCTCCTTGCCTCTGATCTATTTTGAATCTTTTAGTCAATCAATTTCTCTGTGTCTCTCCCCAACTCCACCCCCTTGCTCTGGAGCCCCAACCTCCCAGAGGAGGCTCGGCTTGTATTTTTTGATGTCTCTCTCCGTTAGCTCCATAATGGAACTTCTTGCCTTCCCCATTAGATGGGCACAGTGCCCCGTCTTCGGCCTCGCCTCAATGCCATTCTCTTCAAGCTACAATTCAGTGAGCAAGTTGAGAATATCAAGCCAGAGATCGTGTCTGTCACTGCTGCATGTGAGGAGCTGCGTAAGAGCGAGAGCTTCTCCAGCCTTCTGGAGATCACACTGCTTGTTGGGAACTATATGAATGCTGGCTCCAGGAATGCTGGCGCTTTCGGCTTCAATATCAGCTTCCTCTGCAAGGTGAACCATGGGGTTAGACAGGATGGCAGAGGGGAGGCTGCTTGAGCCCAGTATTGGCCTAAGGTGATTTGGGGCAAGCCAGGACTAACAATTCTCCTCTCACCCCAAGCTCCGAGACACCAAGTCCGCAGATCAGAAGATGACTTTGTTGCATTTCCTGGCTGAGTTATGTGAGAATGACTACCCTGACGTCCTCAAGTTTCCTGATGAGCTTGCCCACGTAGAGAAAGCCAGCCGAGGTAAGGCAGTGTAGGGCACAGCTAGAAGGTGCTTGCTGCCAAGCCTTCCAACCTGAATTCAGTCCCTGGGACCGACATAGTGGAAGGAGAGAACCAACCACCTAAACCAGCACCCCCCCCCACACACACACAAACCCATGGCACTCAAACACATACACAAATAAACAAATGTAATTTGAAAATTGTTCTTAAAAAGGTGGTCCTGAGCCCAAGTCTCTACATGGGGAAAGAAATAAGACACTGTATAGACTTTAAATCATTTTCAGTTCAGCTGGTTTTAAGTGAGAATAAAGGAATTTAGGTACTTAGGTGTCTAAGGTTCAGGGAGGAGTGTGAGGCTGAAGACAGCCTGTGTACAAGAGGAAGTGCCTTTTCCTTTCCTTGGAATACCACATGCACATGTACGCACGTGCACACGCATGCTGGAAGGCAGGTGCTATCCGGCTAGGTCCACAGCTTTTGTCATTCTGAAAGACAGACTGACAGGCATTCGGCCTCATTGTCTGGTTGAAATGAGACAGCTATCCACCCTGCTTCTGGGTTCCTACCTATGTCTCCCTCTGAAACCCTGTTAACCTGAAATAAATGAGACCAAGGTCTCAGGGGATTCCATGGGTGCTTTTGAAATGATAGGAAGTCTGCTTCTGCTAGTATTGTAGAGTGTGAAGGTAGCAAGTTCAGTTAGCAAATAATCACGCTTTCACTGCAAAGATCCAAACCAGCGTGTGAGTCAGAGAGCATGTGCAGGCTAGAGGAGCGAGCATAGAGGAGAAAGGGAAGGGCCTAAGCAGGGTGCCTGCAAGGGGGGATAAGAGAGCTCGGGACGCCAGTAAGTTCCTCTCTTTCTCTCCTCTAGTTTCTGCTGAGAACTTGCAGAAGAACTTAGATCAGATGAGGAAACAGATCGCTGATGTGGAACGTGATGTTCAGAATTTCCCAGCTGCCACAGACGAAAAGGACAAGTTTGTTGAGAAAATGACTATATCCTTTCTTTAGAGGACTTGATCCCAAGGAAAGGAAAGTCTTCTCTGGGGAGTAGGATAGATAGATGATGGCAATATTCAGTTTTCACCTTTGAATTTTTTCTTTCCAGTAAATACACAATTTTTAAACTTACTGTAGAAGGGAAAGCAAACCTTGCAGGTAAACTACAAATCCCTGAGTCCCTACTCTGTGCCCTGTTCCCTTTATGAACATACCCACCTTCACTAAAAGCCCCTGAGTCCCTCCTCCGTGCCCCACTGCTGCCATAGACACACCCTTTCACAGAGGTAACCACCACCACGTTCTGATTTGCACTCATTGTTTGTTTTACACGAACCTGCATCATGTAGCTTTATCTGCACGTCTCAGCCTCGTGTCTGTAGTAGCCTATGCAGTATAGGTAAGCCATAGCTTATGGTTTGTTCCACTGAATAGTCAGAGTGCTTCTGTTCTCTGTCATGAGCAGTACTATATGGCGTTCGCTGCACAGCCCATTCTACATCTTTGACTGGTCCTCTGGCCTGGGTCTACTTCTTGATCTTGGTCCTTTACTCCCTGGCTGCACAGCTTTGTGAAGGATGCACAGGAACAGTATAACAAGCTACGGATGATGCACTCCAACATGGAGACTCTATATAAGGAGCTGGGGGACTACTTCGTCTTTGACCCGAAGAAGTTGTCTGTGGAAGAGTTCTTTATGGACCTGCACAACTTTAGAAATATGTTTTTGGTGAGCAGGGGTGAACTGCTAACTTTCCATGGGGTTCCTAATGGTTATTGGTGGGTTTACACTTGCCTACATATCCTCCATCTGGCGTTGTGTGTCCGTGTCTCCTCCCCTCCACTCGGTGCTTCAGCAAGCAGTCAAGGAGAATCAGAAGCGCCGGGAAACAGAAGAAAAGATGCGGAGAGCTAAACTAGCCAAGGAGAAGGCGGAGAAGGAGCGGCTGGAGAAGCAGCAGAAGCGGGAGCAGCTCATCGACATGAATGCAGGTGCGACTGTGCAGGGCGTTGGAGGTGTCTGTCTAGAACCTAGAGCTAACCAGGGCGGAGTTGCCCGGGTCTAAACGTAGGCCATGGCAAATGGTTTTTGTCAGCCTTCTGCAGCCAAGCTCCTGGTGCTGGATTTTAACATGGTTAATTTTTCCTCTCCTTCCTGGCTCTTGTACTATGTCTCATCGTCCTTGTGATTTGGGAATTACTGTCACACCCACTCTTTCTTTCTGCCTGTCCAGAATGTTCCCTGACCTGTTCTCATTCCTGCTGCTCAATATTTTGGGTTCCCAAAAACGTTTCCCTGACTCCTCCCATCTTGTAGTTACTCTCCTTTCTTCTTACTTTACCAGTACGGTGTTCCTATTACCACTTAGCATGTTGTATGCACATCTGAGATCATAAATGGATTGAACTTCTGGAAGGGGGTGAAAAGCTGGCCACTCTCTCTCTCCAGCAGAAACATGTCTTTGTTTGAGCATATGGTCTCAATTACTGGCCCTCTGTTTCCTGTCTCTGCTTCTATCCTGCGGAGGATCCCTGCCCCCCACTACTCCTGAGGGCAGCGGAAATACAGTAAATGCCGCATATGCAGCTCATGGCCCTGTGCTGATCTGAAGGGCTGTGAACCTCTGAAGTGAGGGGTTCTTGGGGCTGACAAGTCTTAAAAATATGCTAAGCACAAACAGTAGAGACTAACAAGGTTTGAGCCCAGAGACCTTCAGAGTAGTTCCTTGACCTTACCTCACTTGTATTTAGGCCAACAACTTTGTTCTCGTAACACTTAAAAGTTCATACCAGGTATCCCTCATTTCCCTCCCTATTCTCCCTGGGCCTCCAGGGCTTTCCCCCTACTACATTGCATAGGATGTAATGGGAGCAAGGTGGAGAACCAAATAGCATTTGGGATAAGAGCTATAGCCCAGCCAGCAGGTGGCGTAGTGGACCTTACCCTATTCCGAGTGCCTGGGTCAGGCAAATGAAATGGAATGTAGGTCAGCTGCACTGGTGATGTTCAGACAGCAGGTGGCGCTGGCAGTAATGAGCCCTAGTCTTCAGCTAGTAGCCAACCAGCTCCTTGGGATTTCAGTGTCAGATTTCACTATCCTGAGCTGTTGCCATGGAAACTGAGCCTGGCCAGAACTGGGATTCTACATTAACTCTTTGCATTCCAGCCAAGCTGCTTTCAGCTTTTACATGCAGAGCTATCTTCAGCAAGATATAACCACTGTAAGCAGTAGTTACGTGAAATTGAGTCTTGGCCAGTGGGCTCTCTTCCTTTAATCCTCCTCTGAAGCCTGAGCTCTCAGTGGTTCATACAAACGGGAGTGAAACACTGGGGCTGATAATAGTTACAATAGGTGCTTTGCAAACCACCCCCCGCCCCCCCCCCACACACACATACAATTCTTCCTACGTAGCCCAGGCTAGCCTTGAACTCCACATCTTCCTGCTTCCACCTCCCAAGTGCTGGGATTACAGGCACGGTTATCTTGCCCAGCACAGCTGCCTTTTGGTTCATAACTGTGTCTCTGCTTACTCAGATCTTGGAGTTAGACAGTCCTAGGAGTCTGTGTGCTGGTCCTGATTAATGTGGGTAGGATGACATTGCAAGAAGTACCTCAGGGTTCTCACTAACAGGCAGCGAGTTTTCAGGCATTTTTTAAAAAAACACAAAGTAAACAAAGGTCTGTGAGACTTGAGAGGTTGAAGCTTTCTTATCTGTTTTGAGCTGTCAGCCAGTGTGAGGGAGGGAGAGCCATGCAGCAGCCATGCAGTTCATGTGCAGCTTGATATTTGCTATCCTGGTCTGGCTGAAGAATTGACACCTCTGTCTTTGTTCATGACAGAGGGAGATGAGACAGGTGTGATGGACAGTCTTCTAGAAGCTCTGCAGTCAGGGGCAGCATTCCGACGAAAGAGAGGGCCCCGTCAAGGTAAGTAAGCAAATGGAACCTAATTGGGTATTAGAGGGGGCGTGGGGTCTCTGCTCCTGGTCATGCTAGTGGAGGCCTAAAGAGCAAGTGATGTTCTGGGGTTTAGAAACTTCCCATTTCTGTGCACTGAGAATGGATTATCTGGGCCTCTTCCTCGCACATTAGAAAGTCCACGCTGGGATCCTTTAGAGGCCTAGATGTGATGGCTTCTTTCTGTCAGAGGGTAAGAGCTACAGCAGAAGCATCTCTGTGCAGAGTTAAAGCCTGTCCCCATTTGCTGGCAGCTCTGTAGACACATCTGATAGGAGCTTCACTTGGAAGCTGCTCTAGAGAGAAGATGGCTACGGTGATGTCTCTGGGACCTCTGGTGCCCAGCACACCTGGAAGGAGGGCCTAGCAGGCTCAGATTATACTACCCATGTAAACTGTGCTGGCTGGAACGGTTTGCTGAGTGCAGGGTCTCAAGGGAGGAGAAGCGGGTGTGAAGGGCGTAGAACTCTGATTAGGACATCCAGTCTTTCAGCTAACAGCACTCCTTTGGTGTTGAGGTTTTGTAGAGGTTCTCTCAGCACTGTTTCCTGCCCATCAAAAGTACCATGCATCTCACTGTACTGTCTTCCATGACCCTCTTAACTAAGCCCAGCCTGCTTCAGACTTTGGGGAATTCCCTCTTAAGCCTTTTCCTGGGAATTGTACTAGAGACCCAGATGCTTCCTGTACAAGCAGCCAGGCGTCAGTGACTTCCCTCTGCTGGGGATGCCCCATTCTCTACTGCTTTCCTAGTGAAAAACCAGGACTTGGTTGTAAAGAAAAAAAGGATTTTGTCAGAACTACCTTTTCAATTCAACTACCTTTCAGGTCAGGGTACTACCTCCCAGTTAGAAAGACAGTTCTAGGGGACTTACAGGAAATACTGAAATTAAAAGAAGTTGAAAACGAGGACTGCATAGTAAGTCAGCTTGTAATCTTGTCTTTTTGATCGGGTTTACTGAGTTCATCAAACATCTGGGAGACTCTATAAAACACATCTAGTTACTCTGCGAGCGTTTTAGACTTGGGTCCTTTCACATCGTCTAAAGGGTGTGGCCTCACATCCGACATCACAGAAAATGGCATCAGAGTGGCTTGCCAAGGAGTTAGGATCTTTTCTTCAAAGAAAAAGATTGGAGTTTTGAAGGCCCTGTTCTCGAAGTGCAGAGGCTCCAGGGGTCTCAAGCTCCCCCCAGGGCTGCTGGACCCCGCTGCTCTGTTCTTGGTCTGGCTCCCTCTTGACTCTCCTCATGACCAGTGGTTCTCACCCTTCCTAATGTTGCAGCACTTTAACATGGTTCCTCGTGTTACGGTGACCACAACCCTAAAGTTATTTTGTTGTACTGCATAACTGCAATTTTGCTACTATTATGAATCGAAATGTAAATATCTGACATGTGGGATAACCGATATACGACACACACCCCCGAAATGGGTTAAGATCCCGAGATTGAGAACCACTGCTCATGACCAAGTGCTGAGAGCCAAAGAACCAGAAACCTGTCAGGCTTACCTGCCTCCGTCTTTCCCATCCCCAGAGGCAGCTGTCTCTATTCCGAGACACTAGCTTTTTCCCTAGAGCCTCCAGGAATGGTAAAGTCTTCCAGTCTCTAGAGACGTGAAGGAGTGACCGGGATACAAAGACCCATTGAAGAGTTGGAAGAGGAGAGTTACTGTCAGGGCTGGTTCATTAAAGGAACATGTAAATTGCTGGGGTCTGCAGTGTGAGAGAACAATGGCTTGAGTGTCGAGCGGAAGAATCCTTGTGATTGTATTACAGCTGCTATTTCCAGCTGTGATTGAGTCAGCTTGTGGTTTTAATGACTCAGCTTTATCTCCAAGCCTGAATTGTAGTAGGCCACTTACATACTAGAATGAAAGTCAAGAAAGAAATCTCTCTGGAGTCTTCTGCTGTCTCCCAGATTAGCATAAATGGAATTTATGCTAATCAAGGTCTGTGTTAGAGCCTTGAGAAGACTAAAAGACCCTTCTATTGATTAGTATCTACCCTGCCTATCCTAGGTGGATCTCTGAGTTCAAGGCCAGCCTGGTCTACAGAGCCAGTTCCAGGACAGCCAGGGCTACACAGAAAAAATTTTTAAAAATTATAATCCCAAACCTAATAATAAAGCTAGAACTGTATCCTGCTTTTGTGAGTCCAAGTCCAGGGTTCTTCCCACTAAGCCTGTATTATTGGACAGGAAATGACAGTGCCCTCTATTTAGGCCAGAAAACTCTGGCCTGGGATTATTACCAAGAGAGTTCTGGGGATGGTAAAATTGTACCCGGGGAGGTTTTCTGATGACCCCTTGTCTGGAAAGAGTGTTCCTTATCACTACTCTCCCCAGTTTTATAGAACTAGGACAAGAGGTATAATTAGTGTAGTTTCAGACAATGATGAGTTATTAGGATGATAATGACTGTCCCATCTGTCCTAGTTCCTTCTTCCCTGAGGAAGCCTATTAACACGAGCACTTCCTCTTGAGCAGTAGTTCAGAGCTCCTGTCTCAGGAGTTTTTTCCTGAACCATTGCACTTTTCCTAATTGAGCTGTGCTCTTAGTATTACTTCTCAGGTTTTCCTTAGATGCTTATCTTGTTTATTCCTACCTTCTAGGATTCTGACTTGGACCATTTTCTCAGACTCCACCTCTACACCCAAATCTGTGGGCCCATTCTCCTAGTTAGTAATTGTCCCGGATCCTGTACAAACACTAACCTGTTTCTGTGGCTACTGTGAGGACTCAGTAGTCTTACAGAGGGAAGAAGTCAATTTTCCTGATTGTTTAGTCTGCTCAGCATAATGGTGATCAGAAACTGGGATGCTGGGGTTCTTTTCATCAGTTGGAACAAGAGTTTTCTTTTTTGGGGAGGTGGAGGGAGTTTTGAGACAGGGCTTCTCTTGTATAGTTTTGGAGCCTGTCCTGGATCTCACTCTGTAGACTAGGCTGGCCTTGAACTCACAGAGATCCATCCGCCTGGCTCTGCCTCCTGAGTGCTGGGATTAAAGGTGTGCGCCTCCACTGCCTGGCCCAAGCTTTCTCGTTCTTAACCTTGGATCACTTCGTGTCCATCCCTCATGTACTTACTTTCAAGGCTTAAAGAGGAAATTGTGCTGTTTTTCCTGTCTGCCATGCTCCTCGGGTTCTTAGGACACATGTAATGAATCAGAAATCTAGTGAGTATAGAAATATCCTGAAACACTGTTGGATTAGGTACAACAGGGAGTCTTAGAGGAAGCCGTCAAAGAAAGCAGAGCTTAGGCTTGCTTCCCTGGAACTCCATCATCTGTGCTGCTCCATTGCAGGTGTTCAGTCTAGAGTCAGTTGCACGAGTTCACTCACTAGAGTTAGATGGATGTGCACATGTGTGTACATACATACTCATGTGTAGTTGCAGTGAAGAGAGACTGGACCACCATGTTTCTGGTATGACAGTGGGGTCCTGGAGAAGTGAGTGCTTCAGAAGAGTGGAAAGGCGCACCTCTGAGGAGAGACTGAGAGGGGAAGTCGGGAAAGCACACACATCCTCACACGTCAGTTACTGAGGCAGTGGTTTGCCTCCACAAGTTCCCCAAGTTAATTCACCTGGTGAAGCCCTTGAGGGTGTAGGTCTCCCTCTCTCTCTCTCTCTCTCTCTCTCTCTCTCTCTCTCTCTCTCTCTCTCTGTCACACACACACACACACACACACACACACACACACACACACACACACACCTGTGATCTGCACCCTGCTACCCCCACCTGCTGTCAGCAGGATTTTGACTGTTCTTTCTCCTCTTGGTAGACAATTCTTTGTGCCCTTGGGAGGAGGAGGAGGAGGAGGAGGAGGAGGAGGAGGAGGAGGAGGAGGAGGAGGAGACCTCTAAGTTGGTAATCTGTGAACGAATTGTGTGCTCCCTGCCTGACCTGTGGGCAGCCTCTGCGTGTGTAAAAACAGTAGCGTTGGGTCATGGCTCTGCCCTGAGACTGCCAGTCCTGGGCAAGGCTTGGGCTCTTTTTCCCGGTTTGGCTTCCGCTTACCTAAAGCTTTTTGCTAGCGCAGAGCCGAAACCTTGTTTGTGGCCCCTCTGGACTGGCCCGCCCTGCAGCCTTCAGTTGGTGGTGCTGTGCCTGTCCGTGGTCCTTCTCCACTCCTGCTTTCCCGAGGTCCCAGGATAGATGGTCTCACCGTGGAGCCCTGGCTTTTCTGGAACTCTCTATGTAGTCTGGGTTGGCCCAGAACTCACAGAGATCTGCCTGTTTCAGACTCCCAAGTATTAAGACTAAAGGTGTGGGCTACCACCCCAGCCTTTTTTTTTTTTTTTTTTTTCTCATGTCACCATTCTTAGGTATACAGTTTGGGGACTGTCACAAGACTGTGCAACGGTCACCATTGTTATATTTTAAAATATTTTTTTAGCATCTCCAAAAGAAACCCCATATCCATTAGCAATTACTTTTTAACTTATGCATAAAAGTTGTATGTATTTTTAAGGAGTCTCTGATGATGTTTCAGTGCTTGTACAAACTGTGGTGCTCACATCACAGTAAACCTCTCTCTCTCTGGGGAGTAGCAGTAACTTGGGTTCTCCCCTCCATCAGTCCCTGGTATTGACTTGGTGGTTGTTGTTCCAGGTACGGACATTGACTTTTTATTTTATTTTTTTAATGTGTGTGCATGTGCGTTCATACGTGCACACACATGCCATGACTTGGTACCATGGCTTGGAGTCAAGTATCTTTATTCACTTGAGCCATATCACCAGCCCCTGACTTGCGCTTTAATTAAAAACTTTGGCAGGAGCAAGAGGTATTTGTTATCCGTCTCTAGTTGCTTATTTAGAAATTTTGAGACAGGGTCTCATAGCTGAGGCTAGCCTCTAAGTATGCCGGCCTTCAACTAAGAATTCTCTTGCCTCAGCCTCCTGAGTACTGGGGTTATAGGGGTGAGCCACCATGCCCTCTTCTCCTGTTAGTCTACCTTCTGTCTCTGTGGATTTTTCCTAAACTGTGCATTGATTTATAGCACCTATAGCATTTTATGTCTGGCTTTTAAAACCCCACATTGCTCAGTATATATGCAGTAGTCTCTACATGCTGCTTAAAAAGGCATGGAACTAGGTGGTTGTCATGTGATAAGCCCTGTCCCAAGAAGCTGTCTTCCTGTTGAGGATACTGGGGTTCCAAGTATGAATTTATAAATGAGCAGTTGGGCTGAGTCTCTTTCTAGGATTTCCCTCTTGGTCATCCTTGGCCTTCTCGGGCATACATTTTATCATTTCACTCCTCAGTGTGTACGTGCACACGCATGTGGTACACCCTGAAGAGGTGAGAAGGAGCCAGGCATGTGGACTTGGGTTGTTGGAAAAAGGCGTGGGAGTGTGGTGTGCGCGTGATGCCAGTTAGTGGCTGCAGTCCTGCAGGAACCCCTCACAGACCAACTAAACGCTCCCTTTTGCTAGAACAAGCCTTCCAAAGCAGCCTTATAGTCTCACCCACAAGCTTTCTGTGGAATGCCTAGACAAATAGTAATACTGTGTACTAAGCTTTAACATATTTAATTCCAACAAACCTAAAGGAGAAAAGTGAACTCTGAGTACTGTGTTTCTCTTGATACATGACATAGCCAACACTTAAACCCAGTTTCTTTTTTTTAAGATTTATTTATTTTATGTGTATGAATGTTTTGCATACATTTATATGTATGCATCCTATGCATGCCTGGTGCCCATGGAGGCCAGAAAAGGGCATTGGGTTCCCCGGAACTGAAGTTACAGTTGATAGTGAGTTGCCATACAGGTGCTGGGAACCAAACCTAGGTCCTCTGCAAGAGCAGCCACTGTTCTTAACTGCTGGGCCATCTCCCCAGCCTCTCCAGTCCTCCTCTGTCCAGCTGTGTCCAGCCCTTCACACTTGCACCCAGAGGTATATTTTACATTGAGTCTCTGTTCCTCCTTCTGTAAAGACCTCTGAACCAGACAAGGCAGCCACAACTGCATGGCTTCTGGCTGAATACCTGCTGTAAAGTTGTAAAGAGATTAGAAACCAGGCCTTCTGAGGACAGGATCTCATGTCTTCTCTTGTAGTCAACAGGAAAGCTGGGTGTGCAGTCACATCTCTGCTAGCCTCGGAGCTGACCAAGGATGATGCCATGGCTGCCGGTCCTGCTAAGGTGCCCAAGAAAAGTGAAGGAGTCCCCACAATCCTTGAGGAAGCCAAGGAGCTGGTTGGCCGTGCAAGCTAAGCTGGGCTCTATGGCCATTGCTGCTCCTAAGTGAAGCCTCGACTGACTGTCTACCTGCAGCATGTGCCTAAATGGTCCAGGGGGTATCTATCCCTCTGCAGTGGCCTCTCCACCACCTGACCCTGTCTGTCTGTCTGGCCTGCTGCTCTCTGAACATCACATACAGCTTCAGCTCCTGGAGGCCAGAAGGAAAGGGCAGTGGAGGGTGGCCTCAGCCCGGCCCAGCCATCCCTGGCTGTGGTATTACCAAAGCAGGGTCCGTGTTTGCTGCCTTAACCCTGTCTCCTCCATGTTATCCAGAGGTCCTGGTCTCAGACAGAACCCAGCCTGCTTTCTCAGCCCCACTTTCCAGTGGGCCTTCCCCTAGGTCAATCTTGCTGGATTTGTGCTTTTCTTTTGTGGTGTCTCTGGCCCTGAGAATAGCATGGGACTTGTGACCCTTTGGGCTAGACCCCTTCTCTGCTGTCACCTCTGCTTTTCCTCCTGGCAGTTATTTATTACTAGTGCTGTGGCATTGGGAGCTGCTTCTGCAAAAGCAGGAAGCAGCTCCCACCCTTACCCCCGCTTTCCTGGGAAAGGTCTCCCAGGCAAAGGGTCTCAACCACTCTCCTATTCCCACTGTGGCCCAGGTCTGAGCCATAGGCAGGTAGCCAGGGCGTAGCGACAGTGTGGGGCCCGCCCCCTGCCCGCTGCCATGCTTATGCCCTTGCCTCCCTGGACCCTCTGCACCAGCCCCCCGCATCTCCACCCTGCAACTGAGCCCCCCTCCCCCATGCCTTCCCCAGAGCTTTGGTGCATCTCATTCGGAGTGTGGGCTGTAGTGTGACCATCCCAACACCTCACCCCCTCCATCCAAGGAAATGGGAGGTGGAGCCTCCTGGCTGAGAAATTGTTTTGCAAATGGATCTATTTTTATATGAAAATTTTTTAAGAAAAAATTACTTTGGTCCCCTTCCCCTTCCAAAATAAAAGAGGCTTTGATGGTAGGTTCAAACATTCCTGAACATGGTCTAGGTGTTGGCCCCATCCCTCAAGACTAAACCCTGAGGCCAAGGCAGACCCTTCCCTAGCATCAGTTCTGGGGCAAGAGAATTTCTCTGGTTGGGCCGGGCCACACCATAGGGTAGCAAGAGCTCCAATCCTGTGTTCTCATGAATGTATTAAATTATCAAGCCAAATGTGCAGATGCTAAGTGGATGTTGAGAAGTGGGCACAGGGTTGCCCACCCCCCAACCACCACCACTGTGTAAGCAATGAGTCAGACTGGGTGGCCCAGACCTCAGTAAGCTCAGAGTCTCTGGCTTAGGGTCACTTTCTTGCCCTCCTTAGCCCCTTTCAGCTTCCCCTCCAAGGCTCCAGAGAAGGAATGAGCCTGTCCAGGCTTGACCCAGACTTAGAGTCGCCAGAGCATGGGGGTTTAGGAAATGCAAAGCCAGTCCCCGGGGCCCTTGTGGCAGGGAGGATGGTTTGGGTTGCTAGAGCTGTGTCTGAAGGAGCAGTGGCAGCCCCCGGGCTACTTTCTGAGAAGACTGGTACAGTGTGGTCTGGTCCTTCCCTGAGCACCTCCTTGCTAGCTGACATCTGGGGCTTTGACCTTTTCTTTTTTAATCACTTTTGCTAAAATGCATTGAATTAAAAATTTTTTAAGTAGAGGGGACAAAATGCAAACCCCTTGCCTCCTGGGCTTCTGGGGATGCCCTCACCTCCAGTTTGATGGGTTTGTTTCCAACTGTCAATAAAGCGTTGAAACAGACTCTTCCTCTGGCCTCCTCTGTAAACCCTGGACCGGTTCTTTCCACTGTAGTGGTCCAGGGTGCTCCTGAGTGGCTGCCCACTGTTGGTCACCTGACAGACAGATGGGTCAAAAGCTAACCGGTCTGGCAGACCTGAGTCTGGGCATGGTGAATGCATTAGGTTTCTACAGGCCAGGGCCCCCTCTCGGGGCTGTTTTCCTCCGTTTACTTCCAGCTTCTTCCCACACGGTGACCCTTTGGCTTGGAGCCCTAATTTTTACCTCATGTCCAACTCCCCACTTTCTCAGCACCTCCACATGCTACAGTTTTCTGGCCCATACCTATGTCCTCCATCCCCACCAAGTTAACCCTGAGTCTGGGGTCCTGAGTCTGCCCAACCTGGGTCAGAAGCCCCAGGCCAAACACCAGAGGACTTGCCACTAAGCTGTGCTTGCTCAAGCAAGTTGTAACCCCCACAAAGACACCTTACAGTGAGCAGGCCAGTGATAGACGGGGCGGGCCCCTGGACAGCTCTGTACTAGAAATAAAACCTTTTAAATAGCCCCTGGCCTGTGCCGCCCTTACGTGGCAGTGGCCGGAGGTGTGGGGGTGGCTACCTGCCTCTAAACCCAGAGGCTCTGCATTTCATCTCATCTTTTGGGGCCCACACACCAATTAGGGGACCAACCACAGCTGCTCGTTTGCCCTGCCGTCTGCTGCCTTGCCCGGAATAGAACCCAGGCACCCAGCACCCCGCCCTCCCCAACACCAGGCTCTGAGAAAACCCTGCTCTCTCAGCAACCTCACACACCACCACCCTTCCCACGCAAAGTCAAAGTCGCCAGGAAGGTTTGGTTTCCATGGCAACAGACCAGGAGGTGGCAGAACTGGTAACCAGAATCCAAGGGAGGAAGCCCAGAAATTGCTCTTCTGGCTCTTTCCATGGACATGCCCTCACTGACCCTCCTGAAAACCTGTGGGTCTGTTTCTGCCATTCTCTGGATCAATCCTCCTGACTCCCGAACTTGCCCGGAGCCGCAGCAACCCGGGAATTGGATTAGCAGGGCTGGAAGCGGGAGGGGGAGTGAAGAGGAGCTGCGGAGAAGAGGGAGGTGGGGACTGGGTTTCAGGGCCATCCTCCTCCAGCAGTTCCTTTGACTCCATCAAGAAAGGGATGGGCCCTCCAGTTAGGCTTTGCTGCGTCAAAAGAATGGGAAGACAAGTTTCAGTTAGAGAAACTGAGGCCCAAGGTAGGGGGCCTGGTCTTGAGAGAATTGCCTCCCAGGTATTCACTCCCACTGTTTTCCTCAAATCTCTCGGCAGCTGCAGTGGAGGAGGGTAGGCAAAGGAGAGCCCGCCCTCCTGATCAGCGCCCTCCCGTAGCTAGTGGGGAGGGGGCGGAGCTCCAGAAAAGCCCCCCCCCCCCCCCCGCTCGCCCAGCTCATGAGTTCCCGCCCCCACTCGTGCTCCCGCTCCCCCCTCCCACGCAGGGTCTCCTTTTCTGCCTGGAGACAGCACTGAGCATAAATCTGCGCACTCGAACTCCCCACCCCCACGTTGGACTCTCCAGCGACAGCACGGCATGCAGATCCACAAGCACCATTTACAGCCCATCACGCATTAGAGACACCAGGGTGTTGGAAGCATGCACGCCATATTGGACAGTCCTATGAGGACCGCACACACACACACACACACACACACACACACACACACACACGCAGATTGAGATGCTTAGTGACACGAAATCAAGACACAACTGTGACCCTTTGATTCTGTTATTCAGGACAAACCCCCCCGACTCCACCCACATGTCCTGTGTTCCATCTCATAAACAGACGCAGTCAGCCTTTTCAGAAGAAACCTTTTTTTTTATTTTTAATTTTCGAAGAAAAAAGCCATATAAATATTAGAGTATAAAACTTGCGAGAGATATCAGAAGGGGGGTGGGCAGGAGCTACGTGACTATGCGAAGAGAAGCTTGTATAGAGGAGTCAGTACAGGGAGGGGTCGCCGCAGCGTTGTGGACACAGCACAAAACACAGCACGGGCCGCGCAGGCAGGTTGAGATTCAAGGACGGCCGGCCGCGCACAGCCCACCGCCCGCTGCCCACTCGCCATCACGTGAAAGCACACCACACTACACTATTGGCTATTCTACACCAGCCGGGGAGGGGGCTTCTACACTACCGTAAGGGCTGGGGCAAGAGGGCGGGCGGACGGGCGGGCGGGGAAGTTCTATGCACAAGGAGGCACTGGGGGGCTTTAACCAGTCTCTGGCCACGAAGGGGCGGCCTGGGGGCCTGGGCAGTGGCCTTCTGAGAAGAAATGGCACCTGGTAAGGTGGAGGCCAGGGGCTTGAGGACTACAGGGGCCCAGGGAAGAAGCCCCATCATTGGCTGAGACTTTATGGCCGCTTGGTCCCTTGTTCTCCCTCCTTGACTCAACCCAGGGGCCCAAAATGGCCTGGCCTGGCCTCCTTTCCTGCTAGGACCACGGACCCTTTCGCCAGGGGCACCTCTGGAGTACCCAGCACCCACAGAGGCCCCGCTTTCCTCTCTGGTCCTAAATCCACTTAGAGGCCTTCTTCGACTGAAATGCCAGCTTGAATCCCCTGGTCCTGGTGTCTCAGCCCGAGCTGCTCAGGCTGACCCGAGGTGGAGGGGTCTGGCCTGGTGGTTGTCTATGGCTAGAGTTGGGGGGTTGGGCCAGTACCCTGGGTACATACAGAGCCCCCTGCAAGACCCTGTCACCGGGCTGTTGTATCCACTGCCCCACTCCATCGGTGTACACTCAACTTCCCTTTAGCTTGCCACCCCCTCCTGTCTCCAGACATGCAAAGGAGTCTCTTCTTTGAGGAGTAGGGAGGTCACAGCATGCAGTGGCAACATCAAACAATGAAAGACAAAAGACTGGTCCCCAGGCATTGAAGAGAGACTTGGTAGCAAAATGCCTTCCCCAAATCCAGCAAGCATCAGTACCAGGGGGATGGTGACTGTGTCCCCCGAAACTTAAGCATTGGTCTCAGGCTCTAGAAGGAAATGGGCAGACTGGTACCAAACCATGCTTTGCGGGGAATCTGAACCGGAGGAGAGGCCAAAAGGTTGTAATAGTCTCCCAACTCTTTCAGAACTAGGAGCCTGCTGAGGTCACCTGTCCCCTCCCTCAACAGCCCAATCACCTTGCTCCAGAGAGGGACTGAAGGAGTGGGTGGGGTGGGGGGGAGGGAGGCGGGAAATGGCTGAGCCTGACTGAGTTGGAAGGTGGAGGAGGAGGAGTTCAGCTGTAACTAAGGGAGTGTGGCGTGGGTTTTTTGTGTCCACACTGACCCTGCTACCCATGTGGGTACAATCACTGATTGGATGGGGGTTCCCAGCAGAACTCTTTGCATATTCAACCCCCTAGGGCACAGAGAAGGGGGTGTTGACTTGGGCACTTGTTTCTGTTTCCCAACGGGGAGCATGGCCTTGGCTCCGACCAGTATCCTGGGGTGAGCCCTGAAATGTTGAGGCCTGGGTACAAGTAAGGACAAGCTGGACTGGCTGGGGAGGGAGGCTGCCCTGTGGCTCAAGGCCTGGCCTCCATGTTACTTCTTCTCTTTCTTGCCCGACTTCTTCTTGTTGCCGTTCCCGCCTGCCGGGGCCTTGCTGTCCCGTTTGCCGGCTGCGTTGGCCAGGGTGGCATTGCTGCCAGGGATGTACACATTCTGGCGGTAGTCAGGCACGTGCTGCAGGGTGAACTGGGGTCCATAGCGAGCGCTCAGGCCCATGGTGCCAGCACCCCCTCCCAGAGTGGAGCTTCCGTCTGCAGCTTCTGCAGAGACAGGAAGAGCAAACGGTCAGATGGGGTCAGTGACTGGCTTATCAGCAGTCAGTGAGCGCCTCTCACACCCTCTGGAACCCGGCCACTGGGAACACAGTGGTCGCCAAGGCGGTCTCCTTGCACAAGGAGCTGGGGGAGAAGTCGAGAGAGACAAAACACGGGTAGCTCAAACTAGAAATCCTTCAGCCTCCATTTCCCGAAGGCTGAGATTGTAGGCCACACCAGGCCTGGCTGTGTCCACTTCCTGACAGCCTTGGACTGTCGGCTCTGTGGCAAACACACGTGTGCATGTGTGGTCACTTAAACCTCAACCTAGCCCTCAGTCAGGCTTGGGGTTCTGTCCTTATTTTACAGACTAGGGGGCCAAGGCTGAGAGAAGGCCAGTACCAGACAGTATGTGTTATAGTGGGACTCCATCCTAAGTGTATCTAAGTGGTGGAGATAGGTTCCTTTACCACCAACACCAACTGTGGACCATATCCCGGCTCTGGGGGAAAGGAGGGTTGCCCCTCACTCCAGGAGATGATGGTCCTGGGGACAGATATCTTAGGTACAGCACAGATATGGGGCTGTGTACATATGTCTGTCTGGCTGTGTACATATGTCTGTCGGTGCCACTTAGGTCAACTTCTCACTGAACAGAGGAAGAAAGTGGAGCTCAGGGTGGCACACTTGCTTAAAATGCAGGTTCCTGATTTGCATGGTCATGAGCTCTCCAGATGATCTGAGTCCACATTAGCAGCTGAAGCACAGAAATACCCGTCCTGGGGGTTCCGTGAGGACTCAGTGAGACCGACACTCAGTGCTCTGGCATTTGACAAGTGTTCAGTAAACGCCAGGCACAGTTGCCCCTCCTCGTCACCCTCATCATCCAGTGGGATAGCCATTCCACGCTGACTGGAGCTGGGGGGGGGGATGGGAGTTTGCCTCCCAGATCCCCCGCTGGAGGCTCTGAAAGCCTCCATGACACAGAGGGAGTTAAAGGCCCAGGAAGGCCCTGCCCAGCCTCACCGAAAGCTGGAGAGTTTACCGCCTAGCTGCTGCCTCCACCCTAGACCTTGGAGCTAGTAGAGGAGAAGGAGACTAAAGCCAGAGAGGCTGAGTAATTCTGGGACATCAACCAGGGATTGAGAAATCGAGACAGGAAATATTTCCAGTTCGGGTAAGAGGGGAAGGCTAGAGAAAGGAAGAGCGGAGGTGTGCCAGGGTCTCTCCGCCTCTGCACTCCAGTGTCTGGGTTTTCATGGCCCTCTATATCCAGACCCCAAAGTCCTGGAGCCCAGGGCCTTCTGGGAGCAGGCCGGGTAGGAGGGAACAGCTGCCCCGTCCTATCCCTCTCAGCCCTTTCATTTGCTGACATTTCCCTAATTAACTCCAGGAGGTAGCAGGCCGCCAAGGCCCACCCCTCCCCTCAAGCTGACAGCCTCCTCCAGCTTGGGAATGGAAGGGGGGAAGGGCCCAGATCTAGTTTCAAAGAGCCAGGATTCCAGAGTGATTTAGGGGCTTAAGAAGATAGATATGTGTGTGTGTGTGTGTGTGTGTGTGTGTGTGTGTGTGTGTGTGTGTGTGTAAGGAATGTGAGGGAATGGAGAAGGGAGACTGAGCAGAAAGACAGGAAGTACTTCACTGAGTGACAAGGGAGTCTGAAATTGAGGTGGATGGGGTGGGGGGGAGGGGGGAGAAGATGGAGATGCCGAATGCAGCAGAAACTAACTGGAGTCCTGCCCCGTCAGCTGGGCCTTAAGGGGCTGTGAGATCTTGTCTCAGGGCCTACACACCTCAGCTCCCATCTCTGAATCTGGGGGCGGAGGTGGGGGCGGGGGAGCTGGATCGCCAACTTTGACCTTCTGGTTCAGAGACTCCAGTGGCCTTTCTCATTAGATCCTACCCCCCAAGGCTTGGCCCAGGCAAGGACCAGGGTTTTCTTGTCCCAGAGGACACAGACTTAGAAAGACAAAGAGGCAGGATCTCTCCTAGCTGGAGGAGGGGAGCTGGCTTCCTGCCAGCTCCGAACTCATTACCACCCTCCCCTGGTCCCCTTAATATTACCAGTCCAAGTTAGACAAAGGCCCCACAATGGCAATAGCCAGAGATAGCCAAGGAAGCAAGCCAGCTCAGAACGGCACTGCAGCAAAACCGCAGCCTCCTTCGGGGTGCGCCTCCCCCACGTGTTTGTTTAAGAGCTCTCTCAAGGGTCCCTCCCGCCTCCCCTCCCTGGGCCGGGCTCCAGGAGCCTCTCAGGCTCTGGACTAGGAAGTAGGTGTGAAAGTAAGAGTGGGTCCTGACCCTGCCACCTCCACCCTGGAGTCTATTCCCCCAGAGCCCCAGGCTCAGCCCCGGGTCAGGTCCTGGGTGGGCTGGGCGGGCGGAGCCCTGACAGGGGAGCATGCACGGGGCCATGGCGCTACTCCAGGGAGACCTTCTGGGAAGGTTTTGGGCCATAAATACTGCTTCCACGTCTGTTTTTAGCATCTGGACTTGGGCTGAAAAGCCTGCTTTCTGGCCTTAGGGCTCAAGGCCACCACAGCTGAAGAGACCTGTTTACTTCCCTCAAGAGCTGGACCTGGCACCTCCCCAGACCCAGGCCTGCAACTGGCCTCTCAAGGATCTCAGTCCTGTCCCCAGAGGTGGACAGTCCCCTTCATCTCTCCCCCTCCTCTGCTCTTTGGCCAGCCATAGGCCAGGCATCATTCACTCCTACAGAATTCGAGGGTAAGATTAATAAATCATGACAAGTAAAAATATATGGTTTCCAGCTATCTCTGAACCTTGGGCAGACAATGAAAAATTTTAATATAGTTTAAGATGGGCTTATACTAAAACTGTATGTAGCTGGGGCAGTGGTGGTACACTCCTCTAATCCCAGAGGAAGAGGAAGGCAGGCAGATCTCTGAGTTCGAGACCAGCCTGATCCACAGAGTGAGTTTCAGAACAGCCAGGGCTACACAGAGAAACCATGTCTAGAAAAAAAAACAACAACAAAAAAGTATATATTCATCTGAAATTCACGTTGAACTAGGAACTCTAGATTTTATCTGGCAATGCTAATCAGGGAGAATAACGCAACCTCTAGGTCCAGTCAGCTAAGAGGGAAACAGGCTAGATCTAAAGGCCAAAGGTGACTGTGGAAGAAAGAGCATGGCCCTGGGAACAGAGCTGAGTTCGAATCCCAGCTCTGCTGAATCCTGGGAAGAAGCTCCAGGTGAGTGGCATTTCACATCCCTCTGCCGAACACAGAGCCTCAGAACCTGCCTAAGAGAGGATTAGTTGAAACAAAGCCCTGAAGTTTGGTTAGCACACACCCTGCCATGACAATAGGGATATTTCTCCTGGCTTTCTGACCCACCTGTCCCCCAGCCACACTCAAGAGTGAAGCTATGGATTCAGGTGTGAGTCCAGGGCCTTAATCTGTAAGCTTCCCCTAGACTCCTCTTCCCTGGGCCAGAAGTTGTCCTTATCAACAGGTGTTAGATTCTTTTTCTTATAATGTATCCCATTTTAATTTAATTTTTTGGATTAGAATACAAAGTAATGAGTTTCACGGTGGCACCTTCACAGGGATGTGTAATAGAAGTGAGGCTCTGATTCTGGGATGCACTTGCTCAGCATATATGAAGTCCTGGGGTTTGACCCCAGCACCTTATAAACCACACGGCTATAATCCCAGCATTCAGGAGGTGGAGACAGGAGGATCAGAAGTTCAAGGTCATCCTCGGATGCATATGAAGTTGGAAATCAGCCTGGCTACATAAGCCCCTTGTCTTGAAAGAAAAATGCTTCTTTTTCTTCTCTATTATCCCTACAGGTCAATAAATATAATGGCTAATCAATTATAGCACTGTTACCATAATCACTGTCTGCCAAGCCTATGCTGAGGATTTCATGTGTGACCTTCAAACAGCCCAATGAGACCTGTAAGTATTTCATAAGTGAAAGTGAGGCCCAGAGGACTTAATAGTTTACCTAATGCCTCATCCCTAGGTGGGGACAGCAGGATTTGAACCCAGATTGGCCTGCTTGCAAAGCCTGTGCTCTCAAGTGTTAGTGAACTGATTCTGCTTGCCCTGCAGAGGACCCTTGACTCTTCCTGTACAACCACGGGCTGACTCAGTGTTACGACTGAGGCTCTTTCTCAGCCATATGGGAAAAGTACGGTCCTCATCTGGAGGCAGGGGGAGCAGAAGAGTGGCCTGCTGTAATCTGTTGGGGACATCCACACCCACTAACGGGGTCTATCTAACATGTGCCAGGCCCAGTTCCATAGTCTGTGCCTCTTTAGTCCTCACAATAACCTGGTGGGGCTGCTGTCCATTTTCTTGACTGAGGAAGTGTAAAGAGAACAGACAAACTGCCCTAAGTCACATCAGTAAGCGGAAGAGCTGTGGTGTGACGTATGCTGGCCCTTCCCAGAGTCAGAACTGTCTGTCTGTCTGTCTGTTTTTTTTTGAGGCAGAGTCTTGCTTTGTAAGCCAGACTGGTCTCAAAGTCATGGAACTCCTCCTGCCTTAGCCTATGGAATGCTGAGATTACAGGTGTATGCCTCCATACCCAGCCCACAGTTAGACTTGTAACTAACTACTCCTTTATGTCTCCTCGTGGATTGATGACTTGCTCACTCTGCTCTGGGCGCTTTTAGGAACTTCAATCCCTTCATTATCCCTCAACCTGGAGCTAGGTCATGGAGGATCACCTGCTCTTCCAGAGGGGCCACACAGACCAACACCCCATCCACAGCCGTGATGGCAGCAGCCTTCCCTCTGTCTTCCATCCTCTCATACCCACGGGTACCACTTACCACTGGCAGAGGCCAAGATCATGGCTTGCAGCATCTCCGTATCAAACTGGTTGTTGGGCCAGGTGCCGGTTTCATCGCCATTTTGGGAGCTGAGGAGACAGTGACATGGTCAGCGACATCCCAGGACAGCTGTGCTCATTCTCCCCCAGCCTCTTCCCAGGGTTCCCAAATCTAGTGCCTTGTCCCCACCCCATGCCTAAGACCTGTTTCCGAGTGGAGGAGGGGCGTTTATATAACCTTCAGAAGCCAGACCCCAGTGAGTCCATTCCCTGGGCCAACTTTCTGCTGTCTCGAGGGTACTAAATGAACGCCACCCCTCCATCCTTCAAGACAGGCTGTGATCTACTGTCTATTATAGTTTCCCAGTAACTTCCCTTTCAAGCTCTCTCTTGCTGATGCCCAGAATGTCAAACCACAGCCTTTGTTTTAACGATGTAAATAAAATGTGGCCCAGGGGATTCTAAAACTCACCAGGGCTGGGCTGGGCCTTGTGCGGTCCTGGAACTACTGGTCCCCCACCTGCTCCTTCGCTACACTGACCTCTGTGGCTTGGGGATCAGGGTCAGCCTCCTACTGAAGCACTCAGTAGGAAACCTGGGCACCTGGGCTTCATGAGGTCACTTCGAAGCACTGTGCATTGGAAACATGAAGTGACTCATGTTTTTAAAACCATTAAGAGTGCTGAGAAATTGCAACTCACTGTGCTCAGTGTGGACCTTTCCCATGGTGACAATTTCTGTATCTCCTTCCTTCCTCTCTGTCTCTGACTGTCTTTTGTTTGTTTTTGTGACAGTCTCACTCTGTAGGCCAGGCTGGCCTACAACTCATGTAACTCATGTGGGCCTCAAACTCACAGTAATTCTCCTGCCTCAGCCTCATGAGTGCTGGGATTACAGGTATATATACCACTATACCTAGCCATCATATGGATTTTCAAGGGTCAAATTATTCTAGTTTGCAGGGGTGAGGGAAGAAACCCCACACCTATCTTGCCCTGCACACATCCTGACACACATTGGCACCATCTGGCACAGAGAAGATCCCCCGATAAACAGTCACTGCCTGGCTGGGCCTGGTGGTGCATGCCTGTAATCCTAGCACTCGGGAGGCTGAGGCAGGAGGATTTCTGAGAGAGCAGTCTGAACTGCGTAGAGATACACTTGCCTCAAACAAGTGAATAAATACAAGTTGCTTGAATGAATGAGAAGAGTTCAAGGGAGAGTTAGGTCCCTATGAAGTAAAAAGAAGAATTTGGCATCAAGGAAAAGGCTTCAGGACAGACCTGGAAGATTGGAAGAAAGCACGTGCATGCGTGTGTGCGTGCGTGCGTGCGTGCATGTGTGCATGTGTGCATTTGTGTGTGCTTGTGAGCATGCATGTATGTGTAATCCTGGAGGCTGAGGGAGGAAGACTGAGAATTCAAGGCCATCCTGATTATATAGAAAGACCCAGTCTCAAAAAACTAAGGCTGGCTTAGTAGTAAAGTGCTTTGCCTAGCAGAAGATAAATAGATAAAAATAGCTTTATAAGGCTGGACACTGTGATGGACACCGTGATGGACACCTGTAATCCCAGCACTATGGAGGCCGAGGTGGGTTAATCAGTTGAGCCCCAATGACAGAGGTGGGCCTGGGCCACACAGAGAGAGCTTGTTTCAAAAGAGAAGTAAACAAAAATGAAAATAACCGTAATGAAGAAGCCTGGGGACACAACTTTACCAAGTGAATAAACAGCAATTCTGATAAGGAGACAAACAGACACAAATAGAAGCTGCTAACAGGACAAACTGACATTGTTTCCTGATGTGGTCAGTGGGAAGTCCAAAATACCACCCATGGAATGTTCCTATGAGACTGTTGAATTATGTTGCTGTCTAGCCAAAAGAATCAACGGACCCAGACTATGGGCATTGAAATGAAGACTACTGGTCTAGATGCTTTAAAAGTATCTATGTCATTAAAAAAAAAAAAGGTAGGGAGGCTGTTCTGATTAAAGCAGGAGGAAGAGACATGGTAAATGCGATTCATGCTCCTTGATCAAATTCTAAATTCAATTTAAAACGCAGATTAAAAGGGCATACTGGGAGCATTTGGGAAGGTTTGCTAGTGGACTGTGTCTTACAATGTTAATGTTAAATTCTTCAAACATGACCATTATTTTGTGATTCTATAGGAGTCTTTAAAGGTATACCATGTCCAATGTTGTGATGCCTGCAGTTCTTTACGTGGTTCTGGAAGGAAAGGACCAGGGTGTGTGCACCTTCATGTGCAAGTGAATAGGAAATTTAGGTTGTTCTTTTCTTTTTTCAAACACAAGAATATGTGTACTTTAGCATACTATTCTTTCAACTTTTGGGTAGGTTTGAGACATTTTAAGATAACAAACCTGAGAGGTAAAAGCAAGTCACCTAGGAGACAGAGGATGTGGAAGACAGCTTTCAAGGTGTGCACGGGGTGGAGGTGGAGGGGGAGGAGTGAGAGGTTGGGGTGGGGTGGCTGTGTCCTCAGCTCTCAAGGCAGGAGAGGGGGCATGTCCAAGACCTAAGGAACTTGGAAGGGGATGGGGTGGGAGTGGGGGTAGTGATGCACTGGTTGGGGAAGCGGGGGGGGGGGGGGGGGGCATTTGGCTCCTTCCTCAGAGTTCTGGAGAGATCCTAAGGTGCTTAGAAGCTGGGTTGCTATGGTGAGATTTAACTACGTGAAACTCACTCTTTGTCTTGGACAAGGATGGAAGGTGTGAGGGTCCGCTTAGAGGACAGGAAAACCCTTGTCTTCATGAAACCCAGGAGCCTTCAGTCTTATCTGAATAAGCTCGGGGGCTGTTGAAGGTGTGGGGAGAAAAAAGATAGAGATAAAACTCAGGGCAGGAGGGTGCCCTGGCAGGGGGCGGTGCTGCCTAGGGAATAAAGGTGAACGCACTGGTGGCCTGGAGCCATGGTGGACTGTCAGGAACATGCTGGAAGGCTAGAGGCCAAACAGATGGGCAGGCTGCCAGCTTTCTGCAGCTGGGCAAGAAATGATGGGGGGGCCAGGGTGGTTCTGAGCCCTGGACCCACTGGGCCATGTGTTTGTACATCGTCTATTTCATCCTTAGAACCACCCTGCGGAAAGGGTTATGATTATCCCTGATTTCCGGCAGATGAAAGAAGGGCTTGAAGGCCTTCTCAGAGTCACACACAGCTAGTTAAATGACAGAATTGCAACTCCCAACTGGCCTGATATGACCCTAAAGCCTATGATGATCTCACACAGAGAAACTTGGCTTCAACAAGGCGTCCCTGGATCCCTAGGAGCAGATTCAGGAGGCTCTTCCAAGATTTGAAGACAGTAAACATGAAGGAGATGGACTGTTTAAGAGCCCATTTTCCAAGCATCCATGTATTCTGGTTATCCTTGTGTGGGGAGGTTGGGGAGGAGTGTATAAGGGCTGGGCTGCGATAAAATATTCCCTGTGTGAAGCTAAGGAAAAGTGAGAAACCAGGGAAAGCCACACTGACAGCAGCCTGTACTCAACTGTGTTAAGATGTTAGGATGTTTATTTAGTTAGCAGAGCAAGAACCTATTAGCACCTGAAAATATACATATCTATCCATATGAGGTGCTGTTATGCAACACTTAAAAGACTTTTGAAGAGTTTCTACTGATATGGAGGAATTCATCTGACGTGTTATAAAGAAGAGAAAATAGGCTACAGTAATACTGGAAAGATGAAAGATGACCTCAATTCCTATTTAAAAAAATGGTAAGAAATGTTTAACAGTTGACTGGTAATGAAAATTCTTATTGTGAACAAGTTTGCCAGACTTTTTTAAAAGGAAGCTTATGCATGCTGCTTGACTGTAGAAATAAAAATGCTTAGAAAGATGCATAATGAATATGTTAATGACCCACCGAATAAATTGTAACTAAAAGATAAAAATGGTGGAAAAGGAACATTTATACTAAAAAGGATGAAGAGACTTTCGGAGACACCAAACCAAATGCAAAATGCATATATATATATAATGTATGTATGTTTTTTGAGACAAGGTTTCTCTGTGTAGCCCTGGATGTCCTGGAAACTCACTCTGTAGACCAGGCTGGCCTTGGACTCACAGAGATCTCCTGGCTCTGCCTCCCGAGTGCTAAGGTTAAAGGTAATGCGCCACTACTGCCTGGCTTAAAATGCATATTTTTTTAAAAATAATTTTTTTTTTCCAGACAGGGTCTTTATGTAGCCCTGGCTATCCTGGAACTCATAACGTAGACCAGGCTGGCCTCAAACGTACAGAGATCTGCCTGCCTCGGCCTCCAGAGTACCGAGATTAAAGACATTCACCACCATGCCTGATTTAAAAAAAAAGACAGGAAAATCCTAGATGAAATTATGTAATGTTTGGGATTTGCTTTGAAATAATCCAAGGGGGCACAAGGTGGGGATCTCAATAGCACAAGACAGTACAGCAAGTTAGAGCCGAATAGCCAAGACTTCAGCGCACTGTCTATTTTCATATATATACTTTTTCTATATTAAAATATTAGTAGCTGGGCAGTGGTGGCGCATGCCTTTAATCTCAGCACTTAGGAGGCAGAGGCAGGTGGATCTCTGTGAGTTCAAGACCAACCTGGTCTACAAAGTGAGTTCCAGGACAGCCAGGTGTACACAGAGAAACCCTGTCTTGAAAAACAAAAACAAACAAAAATGTTGGTAGTCTTTCGAGAGGAAGTTTCTCTTTTTTTCCCTCTCTCTCCTGTTTTTCTATCTCTCTTGAGCTGCCCAAACGTATGTGCTAGGAACTGAACTCTGGCTTCTGGCAGAGCAGTAAGTACTCTAAACCTCTGAGCGGTCCCTCCAGCCCCAAGAATGTACTATTTCATGAGAAAGGGGAAAAAAAAGCTGTTGTTTGTTTGTTGAACAACTGCCCAATCTGAGAGGCAGTGGGGGTGGGGTGGGGATAGTGTCTCAGAGGAAGAATGGAAGGCTCCCAGGTTGGAGAAGAATAGAATAATGTGGAACTAAAGGGGAACAGGGTGGTGCCGGGGACTCTGGGAACAGCTGCAGAGCAAGGCACAGCCCAGGTGACAGCCTGAAAGGAGAAACAGCTTGTTGGGCTCAAGGCTTGGAACAGCAGTGGTGTTGCGATCCAAAGCCAGAAGGATGACCTGAGAAGGCGGCAGTGTGGGAAGGAGAAACATGCAACCAGCAAAGAGCTTTGGAATGTGACTCTTGCCCTCTGGTCTGGGCAGTGTGACCTACTGTTGCCTTAAACTTCACCCTGGGCTACTGGAGAGTTCAACACTGGCCCTGCTCGAAACTGGACGTGGTTGGTCAGAAGGGCGGCAGGCAGTGGGCAGAGAAGCAGTGGAGGGCTGTCATCAGGATTTCACTGAATAAGAGGCATTGCCTTTCTCTATCCACTCACTCCAATATGCTCATCAAAACGGCAGCCAAGAGAAAACACCCTGTCATTCTGTTCACTGGGAGAGGCCTCACCACAGGGCCTTTGCATAGGTTCTTCCCGCATCTGGAATTTTCTTCCTTGTCTTCAGTTGACCGACTTGCACTCATCCTTCAGCTCTTACCCACCTCACTACCTTCTCATGTCTTTCTGCTCTCTGGCTAAGTCAGATGCCCATGGCATGCTGCCCTTCACAACCCTCAGCACACGGCCAACACCTTGAGGTCGGAGGCCATCTCTATCTACCCCACGATGTATGGACTTCAGGAGAATGAAGGAGGGAAGTGGGCACCTCTGGATCACACCTCTGGATCACACCCTGGTGCTTTGGCTGCATCTTGGCCACTTTGGGGCTGAGTCAAAACTGTCCCAACTGCAGCAAGTTAGCTATGGAGGGGGGGATCTCCTGAGCCTTTTCAGCTCCCTATGAGCTCTGCTAGGGACTCCAGGCCACCAAAGCCTCTCACGGATGAGAAGGGACCTGCAGCAGGGGAAAAGACGCTCCCCGGGGTACATGAAGAACAGCTGTTGGGGCTTCCAAGACTAGCAACAACTGGGGCTGCAGGGCAGGTCATGGCTGGCCAAGGCAGAAGGAGCCTCATTGCACAGCATGTCTCAAAGCTGATGTAACTCAAATGTCACCTTCCTGGAAGCGTTTCTCCCCTTCCCTCTTACACTCAGCCTCTAGTGTAGAGTGGGCTAGATGGTTTTGTTTGTTTGTTTCGTGTGATTTGTTGTCCATTTTCTTCCCTCCACTGGACTAGAAACTTCTGAGTTTGGGGATGGTGTCTGCTCGCTCATTCTGCCAGGCATCTGTGTTAGCACAGTAGATGCTCAATAAAAACTCAATGAATGAGTATAAGAACAACCTACGGAAGACTGGCAAGGCCAGCAAGGAAAAAGGGAACAGCTGGGGTCAAAGCAGGGGCAACAGCAGCCCCAGCCTTTTCTGGCTGTCTTTAGGGGCCTTCTAGGAAGTGCTTTGCATTCCTCACGCTGCAGACAAGCCTGCGCATGCCTGGGAGCTGGAATCTGCCAGTACTCAAGGCTTCTGGATTCTTGTTGTTGCTAGGGCTTGGCCCCTGAGGAGAAAGCAGGGTGGAAGCCCCCAAACTCATCATCTTAGCATGCGGACAAACACAGAAAGGGGGCAAGTCCTGCTTCCCTCCCTGGGATTTTCTCTGCGCCCAGCTTCTGCCTAGCAGGTTGGCCCAGATCCCGTCCCACGCCCCTCAGACCAACTGAAGGTCTTTCTGCTCAAGTCCATCCTCCTCCCCACCCCCACAGGGGGTTCCTGTCTCAGCAGGAATTTACACCCGATTGAAATGAACAGCTGGGGCAGCCAGGGCGGGAGGGAGAGTGGTGGGGGGCCGCTATCAAAGGCTCTAAGTGTGAGGGGCGGGAGAAGGAGGCGCCTGGGTGCCGGCTGGCCCACAAATGCCAAGAAATGAGGGACAGGGATTGTGTGTGTGTGTGTGTGTGTGTGTGTGTGTGTGTGTGTGTGTGTGTGTCAGATAGAGAGAGAGGGACTGAGATTCTCTGACTCTGAATGAGAATAGACATAAGAGACTGAATGACACAGTGAACTTTAGAACAGAAAGGGAAGCGGGGGTGGGGGTGGGGGGAGCATGGACAGAAGGCCACAGTGACACAGGAAATGATTGGAACAGGAGAGAGACAAGACCAGTAAAGGGACACAGAAAGGACGAACAGTCTGGCACCAGGAAGAGTGGACCGTCTTCCTTCCTTCCACGTTCATTGAGCACTGTGCCAGGGCAGGCGCAGGACAGGAGAGGTGCCCACCAGGGCCAGGGGACACAGGTGTAAGGGATGGAGAAAGGGAGAGGCAGAGACTGCAAACTGAGACAGAGACTTTGGGGAGGATGCAGGCTGGAGAAAGAGGAGGTGGAGACAAAATCCCGTAAGCAGACGGGGCAGGACGGGCGTGGGGTCAGGAGGCGGCTGCTGTCCTGAGAATGTATCATTTCATAAGCCGTGCCACCTCCAGCTGTGCGGTTTCCTCTTCCCACAGCTGAGCTCTCTCCCCTGTCTCCCTCTCTTCCACCTCCATTTCCCTCCACGGTTCAGGGAGGGTTCTGACTGGGAACAGCCTGCTTGTCTCTTGACCCATTTCCTCTGCTCCAGTCGCAGGTCAGGCTAGAGCCGGGCTCAACTGGGAGGAGAGGAGAGTATAAACAACGGATAGGTGTGGGAAGCCCTCCTCACCCCAGCCCTGCCTGTCCCTGGGTCTCACGGAGCCTTCAGGAGACAGGAAAATGTGCACGTGGCTGGGAGAAGGAAGAGGATGAGTGGGTGAATTTTGCTTCCAAAATAGTCGGAGTAGGCATCTCTTCTTCCTGGGGTCTGGGTAGCAGCACCCAGGAATCATGGGATGAGGGAAGAAGCCATTTGTAGAAAATGCCGAGCCCTCCCCTCGTCTCCTCCCACGTCATCACCGAGAAAATGCCGCAGAGAAGAGGGTGGGCTGGAGATTCTGTCACCTACCCGCTCGTGCCGGGCCTCTGGGCTTGAGAGAAACGCCAGTCGGTGTTGGGCGGGGCTTGCTGTGGAGAAAACAGAGGGAAGGTGGCTGAGTACCCAGCAGCGGCGAGGTGTGACCGAGCCCCTGGGGGTGGGGGCGGGAGTGGGTAAGGGGAGAAGCAAAGGGGCCAAGATGGGGGAGGGTGGACACATCTCCAAAGGTGGGGGCGGGGAGACCCGACCCAGAGACGAACCAACTGTTTCATCTGATCACAGTGAACAAGCACGGATTTCTCTGCTCAAGAAATGAATCCCTTTTTCCTGCCCCAGACTCAGAACGTCTGAGCCAAAATTCAAGGACTGAAAAGTGTCTTCCGTGGAACTGGGGAAGGAGCGCAAGGAAGGTGCCCCCTCCTCAAATAGCAGAGAGGCTTTTCGATAAAACCCCACCAGCCCTAGAAAGGAACCGTTCAGTTCCTCAGCCGGGAACAAAGCCTCGGCGGTGGCAAGATGGCTGCCGCTCTGGGTAACCCTTTTCGTGCCAAGTGGTGCAGGGACACATTCAGAGGGCCACCTCCTCCAGGCCCTCGCTCCCAAAGACCTCTTCCCACAGCTAAATACATTATTAATTTAGGAGTCATGCCAGCCTGGGCCTTCACAGGGCATCCAAGCCCCAGGACGCCTCTCACCCCCAGAACTTCATGCCACACAATGGCCTGTGACTAAGGAGAACAAGGCAGCTCTGTCCAAGGAAGGCCGAGAAAGTGGCTGGGATGGAGTCCAGAGGGACCGCATTCTACGGTCTCCAAGCAGAGCCAACTAAGTCTCCAGCACTTTTAAGGGGCTGATCTTGAGCCCTCTCCCACCCAGCTCAATGTGCAGGGCTCTGCCAGCCATCACTTAATTTCTAAGTTCCTCGGGTCCTTCCAGGGGATGTGGTATCCCACCACACATTCTCCTACAGCCAAGTCTTTACCAGTTCCTGGGATGTGCTGGTAATTAATTCTCACACAGGCTCCCAAGAGAAGAGAGTGTGAGCATCTCATATTACTTTGGGGAGAAGGAAGACCCAGGACTTGCCAATGACTCACACTGAGATTCACAGGTGACAGCGATGTGAGTGGAACCCAGAATCCTGAGATTCCTGGTGCATCGGGTGCCATGAGCACCATTCTGGGGTTGCCATGGAGCCGGGTGCAGACCCTTGGCCACTGTACCCTTTGACAGCAGAATGTACATGAGGGTGCAGGATTATGATCTGACAGGGAGTCTAGAAAAATCTACACCCACATGAAGGGGCAGGAACAAGTTTGTTCAGTGGGTGCTGCTGAGAAAGGGGAGCCCCAAAGACTTTCTTCCATATTCGAGGTCCTAAGGAGGTAAGAACTCCATCCTGTCTCATCCAATCAGATAGCAACCATCTCTTGTCCAGCTTTACAAATTCCAGTGTGTGCTACTCAAAGCACACACTGGAGTTAAACAGACCTGGGTTAGACTCTTTATCATCCTTCTGAATTTGAGCAACTTGCTTGACCTCTGTGAAAGCAACTACTAAGGCTAATAACTATCCAAGAATGTAGGAGGGGCGAATGAAACACCCTGCTTGTTTGTTTGTTTGTTTCTATTTTGTTTTTCAAGACAGAGTCTCTTTGTGCAGCTCTGGCTGTCTTGGAACTCACTCTGTAGACCAGTCCAACTCACAGAGATCCTCCTGCCTCTGCCTGCCGAGTACCCCTGGCTCTTTAAGGAGGTGTTGTAATAGGACTCTTTCAATCAACTATCAGAAGTATCTGGAGGCGTTTCAAAAATATAAACCCCATACAGCAGAGGCAGAGTGGAGAATGGACAGACTTGGAATAAAGCTTCTTAGTTTGTGAAGACATGCTTTTACCATTTCTGTTTCCCCGAGTATGAGGGCTACCCCTGGCACCTGGCAGAAGCTGTGGTTTTCCATCAGTCAGAGGAGGGAAGATTTGCCGAGAGTCTCAGGTACTCTGATCATCCTCCCCAAATCTTGACCCTAGATCTCGGGGCACATTTACCACGACGGAGCCAAAGCCTGGTTTTGAATCCCCAGAGCAGGGCTTCTCCAGGCTCCTCCTTGCATGGGGAGGAAAGGGTCGCTGTGGCAACCAGGGTCCCAGGCCTCCAGTCCTAGGACTGCTTATTGGCCAACCAAGGCCCTGCCTTACAAGAGGGGCCGCAGGTGCTGAGAGAGAAGGGGTTCAGTACAGAGCCCCAGGCCCAGCCAGACCTAGGGCTAGCAGGTTCCACCTGCCTCGAGCCTAGAGGGCCAGCGTCACTCCGACTTTGTGGAAATCGGACTCAGCTCAGGATGTTAGGGTTGGGGAGAAACTCCTGCGTCCTGGCTTGATCCTGGGCCGGAGCGACCTGGGAACCTCACCGGGTATCATCAACCGCGAGCACTTCCCGGGCGGCCCAGGGGGTTATTTGGGGAGCTAAGGAGCCGCGCATGGGTGTGATAGGTACCGAGGGCAACCACCCAGCCCTAGCGGAACGGCTGTCGGGGGGCGGGGGGCGTTGTGGTTGGCTGGAGCTGGACTAAGTAGAGTTGAAGTTAACGAGGAAGTCATGGACTGTGAGAATAAAGATAAACCGAGGAGGAAGCCTCAAGAGTGGCAGATCGCAATGGAGCCGGTGCCCAGGAGGTTGGCAGCCCAGGTCTGTGGTGACCTCCACGCGCCGGGGGGACCCCAGCATCTGCCAAATCAGTGTGAATTCACCAGTAGCGGTGGGGGGCGCCAGCCTTTTCTGTATGGGGAGGGGAGGGCAGGAGTTGAGCCTACTTCCCCTCACCCATAAACACCATCACCCCTGGATGCTCAGAACCCTCTGACTCGACCACTCCGATCGTCCACGTTCAAATGCAGCCAGCTGGGTACAAACAGGGAGTGAAAGATCAAAGCCCTTAGGTGGACCGGCAGCTTCTCCGACGTGCCCGTGCCCCCCGGGGGTCGCATGGAGTACCCAGCCCTCACCTGGCTCCGCTCCCTCAGCGTACTGGAGCGGGAACGCAAGGCCTCGGGTTCCAGCGCCAGGGCTGAGGGCTGCTGAACGCTGAGGGGCCTGAGAAAAGTGAAGTCACTGCCGTCGGAGGCCGGTGAAAAGCACGTCCTGTAGCAATGGCTTTGCGAGTCTGTGGGCCGCAGGGTCACCTCCATATACTTTAGTGTGCCATCCGAGCTCACCTGCAGGTTGGGGCTGGACTGCTTATAGAACTCCCTGGAGGGTGAGTCCTGGCCCCCGCAGCACTGGCCCCCACCCCGGGCCCCATCTTCATGTCCCCTCAGACACTTAGCTGACATGAAAGTGAAGGTAACTAAGGATAAAAGGCTGACAGCTGCTAGAGCCACAATAAGGTAAAGGGTGAGGTCTGACCGCTCAGGAGGGTGTGTGAGGAAGTCACTAGATTTGGGCATCTCCTCTGCATCCTCATCCTCCAGAACCAGCAGTACCGTTGCTGTGGAGGACAGTGAAGGGTCACCATTGTCCCTCACCAGGACCACCACCTGTTGGGTATCAGAGTCTTCCTCCAATAAGGCCCGGGCGGTGCGCACCTCACCAGTGTGTGCAGACACAAGGAACAGTCCAGGGGCGGTGGACTGTGGTAACAGAGAGTAAGAGAGCCATGCATTGTGACCTGCATCAGCATCCACAGCTGTCACCTTGGTGACCAGAGAACCAGGAGGAGCAGAGCGAGGGAGGCGTTGGGGGGCTGGGAGCTCCCTGCCAGGTCGTGGGTGCAGCACAGCTGGAGCATTATCATTCTGGTCAAGGACAAACACGTGGAGGGAGGTGTTAGCTCGCAGTGGGGGAGAGCCAGCATCTCGGACCCCTACCACAATCCGCAGCATCTGTAGCAGTTCATAGTCAAAGGTCCGCTGGGCAAAGACTCGTCCATCCTCGGGGTTGACATACACAAAGGAGGAGGCCGGGGCTCCCTGAATTTGACTTCCCACAATAGAGTAGGTGAGGCGGGCGTTCTCCCCCGTGTCTGGATCTGAGGCAGCCACAGTACAGAGCAGAGAGCCCGGCGGCCGGTTTTCTGGGATATAAGCAGTGTAGAGCTGTTGGGTGAAGTGGGGTGCGTTGTCATTAACATCTGAAATGTTCAGCCTGATGGTGAGATGTGTGTGTAGGGGAGGTGATCCAGCATCCCTGGCCAGCAGGTCGATGATATAATGGGGTGTGGTTTCTCGGTCCAAAGGCTGGCTGGTTAGCAGTGAGTAGTGGTTCTCAGAAGGCTTGATCTGAAATGGCAGGTCTGGAGATATATCTAGGGTCACCTCACCATTTTGACCTGAGTCTCGATCTCGCACATTAAACAACCCCACTACTGTGCCCACTGGTGTGCTCTCTAGGACAGGGTTGACCAAAGAGGCCAGCAGCACCTCAGGGGGATTGTCATTAGCATCCCCTATATCCACTTGAATCACACAGTGGCCCTCCATGGCTGGCTGTCCCTGGTCTCGGGCTCTTGCATGAATTTCATAGAAATTTGACTCCTCAAAATCTACTGGACCCAACACATGGATTGCTCCACTGCTAGGGTCCAAGCCAAAGAGATTCTTTACTGCTTCAGATGTATGGTCTCCAAAAGAGTAGTCTAGCTGGCCATTGGTGCCCTCGTCTGGATCAGTGGCATTGAGACGGAGCAGCAGTGTACCTGGGGGTGTGTTCTCTGGGAGTCCCACACGTAGGACGGAGGACTGGAAGGTTGGAGCGTTATCATTGACGTCCAGCACAATGACAGAGATAAGGCTGGTCCCTGAGCGGGCTGGGGTTCCCCCATCCACAGCAGTGAGCACCAGCTGATGTCTTGCCTGGGCTTCACGGTCTAGCTGCTGCTCTAGCACTAGCTCTGGGAACAGCTTCCCATCTTTTAGGGTCTTCACATTCAGAGAGAAGTGACTGCTGGGGCTTAAGGTATAAAAGCTCACAGCGTTGGTGCCCACATCTGGATCTTGAGCACTATCCAGTGGGAACCTGGCTCCTGGTGCAGCCGATTCTGAGATTCGCATCTCTCGCTCAGGAGTGGCAAAGCTAGGAGAGTTGTCATTGA